GGGGCCAGACTACCTAGAATTCAACTCCTAACTCTGTCACTCATTGGCTGTGTGACTTTTGGCAAGACTCTTAACCTCTCTGTGCCTCAGTATCCATGATAATAATGGTATCTTCCTCAGAGGACTGTTATGGAAATTAAATTCATATATGTGAAACACTTAGAAAAGTACCTAGCAATAAACAGTAAGGGCTATATGTGTTAGCTATAAAATGATAACAGTGTTATCATTCATGAAAAAGCCAACTCTTAGACTCTAAGAGGCAGATTATGTCATTTAATGTTAAAAATGAAATTGCAGATCCTGAAACAAAGGATGCTGGAAAATCTCTTTCCTAGAAAATTGTGACTGAGCTAAATTGGCCTGCCTGTAACTTTTACTCATTGATCTGATGCCTGCCTTTGGCAGCCAGGCAATAAATGTACCCCAGTTCCACCAGCCAGTCCTTCTTGAAGACTTACAGCCCACCCTCCTTCACCTTCTCTCCTACAGGCTAAACACGCTAGGACAGGGTTTCTACAATAGATCACTCACCATAATGGTCTCCCATCCTCAGGGGAATCTCAATTGCTCAACGTCCTCTTGAAATTTATTACCTAGAGCATAGAGTTTATGGCCTGGCACATCCTTGAGCTCCATAACTTGAAATGAACAAATGAAGTAGTCCACAATGCCACAATACACCAGAACTGTTCTCCCCTTTCTCTATACATTGTGCTTTTCCTACTGCTTCCTGGGCTTATGTTAGCTCCTCCAACAGAGACTTCCACATGCCTGTCGGCTTGGGTGTGTAGGGGTGTCCCCTGGGAACAAGGCTGGAGGACCCGTTGAGTGACAATGAATTTGGTTCTGACAATGAACTCAGTAGCATAACAGAAAACACTCTAGTCATGTAGTAAACACTCTAGTCATGCAACAAAAGAAGCCTGTCAGTGACAGATTTGAAAGGTCCTGCTACCCTTAATAATTCTTGACTGTGGATTAAGTGTAGTATTGGTGCCAGCCAATAAATATTTCTAAATCTCTTCCCAGGTGCGTAGTAGAAATGCACATCCCTGTCCCTTTAAAGTTAGGAGTGGTCATGTGACTTGTTTTAGCCAATGAAAGAGCCAGTGCACAATTCATTAAAGCTCCCTTTGGTGATCATGAAGCACAGAGATGGAGCTTCCCTCAGTAAAGGTGACAATTAAGGCTTCTTTCTCAGTAAAAATGAAAATAAACATTAATTGTTTTAAGTCACTGAGATTTTGTTTCATATTGTAACCATAGCAGACCCTAACTTATCCTGACTAATTCTGTATTACTGACCCAGTAACTAGAAAACTCAGACCTTATGTCTTCTGGATCCACCAAATCATAGCTTTCACATCTCCCTTCTCCATGCTTCTAATATGCAAGATGAAAAAGCATCTTTTAGTCAGCATGCACCTGTTACACCAAGCAGCCAGGTGAGTTCCACCTGCCAACAATATCTGTTCACATCAGTAATACTCTAAAGGAAGTCACAATGGAGACCTTTTTTTTCTTCCCATAGGGAAAGAAACTTTATCTGACCCAAAGCCCTCTAAGATTATCACTGCAGCCCAAAGAATGATGGGTATCTGGAGGAGACTTAAGGATGAATGAAAGAATATGGGACTAATTTAGGAGGTATTAAAAACCTGAATCAGAATCACCTGAAGGCTTGTTAAAACTCTGGTTCCAGGGTCCTACTCCAGAGACTCTGACTCAGGAAGTCTGGAGTGGGCTCGAGAATTGGCATGTGTAACAAGTTCTGCTTCAGAGACCACACTTTGAAAACCACTGCTCTAGATTAGGATTCCCACCAAGAAGCCAGGGTGAAGGTTTTGCAAGTAGAGTCTTTGTGGCCATACTCTCTTTGAAAAGAAAAAGAGCCCTATTTTCCTTTCCACCCAACATAATCTGAGAGCTGTTGAGTGAAGGACAAAAATGATTGTCACCTTTCTCTCCTCCCCACATAACACACTACATAACAAAGAAAGTAAAGCTCCTCTGTACAAGTTTATAACAGTCATCTTATCCGTTGGTACGTGTGTTTTTTTTAATGGTTTCATGCCTCACTCGCCCTCCAGAGCCTCGGTCACCAACCTTTCGGACCTCACGGACCACTAGTGGTCTGCAGACCACCGGTTGGCAACCGCTGCTCCAGAGCTCCACCAGGAAGTAAATCCGAGTGTGTTTCAGGAAGAAGCCATTTAGATAATGGGCTGCAGCCTTGTCTCCACACTCCCTTTCCCAAACCCCCACTACACATCCATGTTCTCACCCTCTGACCCCACCAAGACTGGCCACGCTTCCTTCAGCTGGGACCCATCCTCGTACACGTGCACACTGATCCTTACTTATCTAAATCCTCCCCTTCCTCCTGTTTAGGGCCAGACACTTCAAGAAAGTCTTCCCTCTCTTTCATCCCCATCACAGACAACCCATCACCATGTCCTGTCAATGTTACCTCCCAAATATCTCCAAAATCCGTCCAGCACTCTTCAGTTTTCACTCTAACTCAGCTGGTACAGACCCCTCTACACTCTCCCTCTCTGCCCCGGAGGACTTTGTCCATGGTGTTCACGTGGACTGGGCAGGTCTCAGTTTAACAACAGACCTTCCCAGGATGGAGAGGCCTCCCATGATCCCTAAGCCAGGTTAGAACGATCTTTCATCAACTCCCATTTAACCCTTTGTTTCCTTGGTCATGAACATGGACCATATTTGTGATCTTCTGTTTGATGATCTATCTTCCCTATTCAGCCGTCAGTTCTTCAGGCAACAGGACCCCATTCGCCTTCCTTATTGCTGTAACTGCTATCTGGCAGAGCCCCTGGCACAATGTAGGCATTCAGTGAGTATTTGGTGAGTAAGTGCAGGGATCACCACATCAGCTCATAGGAATCCTCCCTTCCTCTCAGTGCCTGAAGCACTTTCTGCCTCCCTGAAGGAGTGTCTGGCCACACGGGTACATCCCATCACTCCAGATAAGCAAGCACTCCTTATGACAGACAGGAAATGGACTCTACAGGGAAACTGTGACCCTTGAAAAAAACATCTTTCTCTTGGGAACGGAAAAGAATTGAGACTAGCTACAGAGATATTTTGGTAGACTACAAGAGGCTAACCTTCCCAGAAATAATCAGGGGACAAAGTCTTTGTTAACAAGAGGAAAAGGAGGTATGTGTGACAGAAGTATCCAGTGATAAAAGTCTGCATTTTTCTAGAAGTTGGAAACTTCCCAATTTAAGCATTCTGGTGGATTCCCTCCCCAGACCTTTAATAATGACAGGTGGCTAGGTCTCCAGGATGCCTAAGAAAGCGGGCTGAACCCAATGACCTCTCAAGAGCTTCTGACCTGCAGGCTTCTATAAACAGATCCATTCCAAGCTGGAATTCTTTACACAGCAATTCTTTCTCAAATTAGAAGACAAGATAGTCTTTATCTTCCACTCATTCTCTAATAGTAACGCTTTCAGAGTCAGGCCCCTACCCCACAGTTTGGCCATCATGTCGCCTAGTCCACCAGCATGAAAATAATTTAGCAAACAGTATCTGACTAGGGCAAGGTTAGACTTGACTAAAGAGATCAAGCTAGAATGACATCTGGCTTTTCTACTTTTAGCCATGCAACTTGGGGCGAGTGACTATTTCTCTGAGTCTCAGTGTCTTCATCTCTAAATGATGATGATGACCTACTCCTCAGAATTACCGCAGTAAATGAGATATGCACGTAAAATCCCCAGCACAGAGGAAATATGCAAGGAATTACTGTAATTACAGATTTCTAAAAGTTCTGTAAAATAATTATCCTATGCTGAAAATACTACAGAGATAACATGATGTTTGGAATTTGCTTCAAAAGAATCTAGGGGGGAGTGCATAGATGAAACAAAATCAGCCGGGCTTTGAAAATTATTGAAGATGAGCAATGAATATATTGGATTTATTACTGTATCTCTCTACTTTTGTGTATGTTTGAAATTTTCCATAAGAGAAAGTTTATACGTGTAATTATCAAGGGAGGGAAATGCTGTAAAACATGAATACTGATCATTTATTTAAAGATCATATTCGGTCTAGGTCGGTGGTCGGCAAACCGCGGCTCGCGAGCCACATGCGACTCTTTGGTCCCTTGAGTGTGGCTCTTCCACAAAATACCATGGCCTGGGCGAGTCTGTTTTGAAGAAGTGGCATTAGAAGAAGTTTAAGTTTAAAAAAATTTGGCTCTCAAAAGAAATTTCAATGTTGATATTTGGCTCTGTTGACTAATGAGTTTGCCGACACCTGGTCTAAGTGATTAAACAAACAAAAAAACACATAAGGCCAACATCTCTGTTAGTTTCTCAAACAGAATTGTTTTCTTCGAACAGAACAGCCTCAGATGAGAAGGGAACACAGCCACCTGCACAGGGGCTCTGCCTTCATGTTTGGTTGAAGAACGCATCCTGCTTGGGCTGCGCCTACCTTTTAGGTATACGGCCTTGGGTGGGAGACCCACCTCTGAGCTCCCCAGAGGCCCTGAAATGGGACCGAGGAATAAGAAAGCTTCTGTGTTAGGAAAAGCAAGCGTGAGCTCCACATGTCCAGGGACAATGGGTGTCCCCATCCTCCTCTCTTCTGAGCCCTGGCTTTGGGCCCTTACTTGAGGCTTCCTTTAGAGGCTGGTCCAGCTCAGTCTGAGGCTGTATTTAAGGTACTTTCACACCACATGAATGTGTTGGGTGTCACTTGAGGGAAATAATTAATTCAAGGGAAAGAGAGCTTTTAAGAGGTTCTGACAATACCAGTCACAGACATCCCCACGTCATCTCCCCCTTCCACCTCTCCCCACTGAGACACGTCCAGAGACTGCAGAACAAAATTATCCCATTTCACCAACCACTCCGTGCCCCTCTGGCTGAGAGAGAAAAATAGTCCAACAAGCGTTGTTTTTACCAAATGCCTTTAAGCTCCCAACTCTGCCTGGGAAAGAGAACATGTAAAGTACTTACTCTTCTTGAAGAATAAAGTCACTGTTTTCTGGAGAAAACTGCCCACTCACAGGATGCCTGAACGCTGTGGTCTGCTGGTTATGGCTAAAGAGACAGAAAAGGAGATAATGAAGGACAAGTCATATGAATGAATGAAAAGGATTATAGACACAACAGTTCAGGGATGTCTGAGGATGCCTGATCATCACAGATGCCTCCCCAGGGTGAGAAGGTGGACCTTTCTGTGGAGAGGCACTGAATCTTTTACAACCCAACTGCATTCAAAAGCCAAGGACTTCTGGCTGAGTCCTAGCCAGGTAGCTCAGTTGGTTACAGCATCGTCCCAATACGCCAAGGTTGAGGGTTTGATCCCAGTTGGGGCACATACAAGAATCAACCAATGAATGCATAAATAAGTGGAACAACAAATCTGTGTTTCTCTTTCTTTCTCTCCCCCCCCCACTAAAATAAATTAATAAATGCTTAAAAAACAAAAAAACACCAAAAAAAACAAAAAACATTCAGCTCAGGTGCTAGAGGCCACCTGAGACACAGGGACTTTAATTCTAGGGCTGTCTTGGCTTCAGGAGAGCACTGCATCTGAGAGAGACACTCCACGAAGCACCAACTCCAACAAACGGAGCGGCTTAGCAGAAAGTTGCTTTAAGATGGCACGAGCTAAAACAAGAATGAAGGAAAGCAGACGGCCCTTTCAACAGCTACCAAAACCCATGAACCAGGGAAAGAATTCTAAGAATTAACCACCTACCCAGAAAAAAAAACAAAAAAAAAACAACCAACTATCTTCTTAAAATTCTTCTCCCTACTACAAAATGTCTTCACTTCGGTGATGGATATAAATGTATGGGCATGTCCCTGCAACATGACCTGCACGATTTCAACACTGCAGAGCTTCTACCACCCTTTTGAAGTCAGGAGGGATCAGCTTCCACGCCAGGCTGACAGGCACAACCAAAGTGTGTAGGTGTTTTGTGTATCCACAAAGGCTGCCTGGTTCTTTGAAAGGAAGGAGGAGCTGGCTCTGGAGACCACATGTTTGTTCCCTGAATAAACTAACCTAACCTCCTTTTTTAAAAGAGTATGATTTGTTTGAAAATGTTTCCCCCAGTCACAAATCAACCCTTTGACAGATTTTAGAAAATATAGACAGAAAAAAAGGTCACCCATGATCTCACTACCTGGACACATATCTTTGTATATGCTGCTTTCTAGCTTTTAAATATTTTCCTTCTAAAAAAAAAAAAAAAAAGCTGTGCTTTCACTGTATTTAGAAATCTGTATTCTGCTTTTATCACATCCTATGAACACAGACATTTTCCTGTGTCATTATGACTTCTTCATTTGAAACAGCTGAATAATAGTCTCATCATACAGATATAATTTTTTCTCATATCACCAAATGTTCAAAAACTATTTCCTGGCCGTGTGTGTGCCAGGCTCTGCTTTAGATGCTGGAGGCACAAAGTGGACAAGAGAGACCTTACCAGACAGCACTCACACTCTCGAAAGATGAACATTCTTCTAATGCTGGATATTTCAGGCACCATCCCCGTCCCATTGTTATAATAAACTAGAGGCCCAGTACATAAAATTCATGCACAGGGGATGGGGGCGGTCCTCAGCCCGACCTGCACCCTCTTTCAACCTGGGACTGCCAGTTTAGGCTCAATCCCATCTCTTACAATCTGGGACCACTGGCTCCTAATCACTCACCTGCCTGCCTGCATGCATGCCTAATCACCCCTAACCACTCTTCCTGCCTGCCTGATCACCCCTAACTGCTCACCTGCCTGCTTGATCACCCCTACCCAGTCTGCATGCCTGCCTGATCACTCCTAACTGCTTGCCTACCTGCTTGATCGCACCTAACCACCTCTGCCTCAGCCCCCACCATGGCAGCTTTCTCCAGAAGGATGTCTGGAAGGTTGTTCGGCTGTCTGGTCTAATTAACATATTACACTTTTATTATTATAGATACATCTTTGAGAATAGGCTTTTTCTGCAATTCAAATTATTTCCTTGGCTTAAAGTCCCAGGGGTAAGATAACCAGAGCATGGTCTTAAGGTTCCTAACACAGATGGTTCACATGTTTTCACTGTCAGAGTCCATCCATCATCTCAGTTTGTTGGTATTAAAGTGTTAGCCTCACCTCCAATTTGAGCACTGAGCCAACCTAGACACTAGTTGATTTAAATGAGCATAGCACAAAGGTTTATAAAGGAAAAAATCTCTAAGCCTACAAAGTTTTTCTTACTCTGCCCTGGATCCTGGTCAGAGCACCCTGCGTTCTGGTGTCTGGGGTAAGCTGGCACTGAGGCTAGAACAGCCTGAATCCCAATAAGCCAAAGGTGAAGCAGGCAGAGCCAGGCTGCTGGTCCCAGACAAGCCTCAGACTCCTATGCCCTCATCTGGCAGGCAACATCCTGGTCTTCCCAAGACATGAGCATCTGAATAAGGGTGGGAAGCAGGCTCCCTTAACTAATCCTGATTCAGAAATCCTTTCACCACATAAGAGAGGCATCTCCATTTACCAGGGAATCTGGAAACACAAGCTCTCATCTAAGCCTGCCCCCTTCCCGCCTGCAGGAGAAAAAGGCCCTGCTCATAATGGGAATAACAATAAAGCAATACCACCACTATCCACTCTCACTGCTTAAGGGTTCTCCAGTCCTAAAGCCTTTCCTTACCCATCTCAGCTGTTAACACCGGCCACCCCATCTTATGAATGAGGAAAAGTGTTAGAGAGGTTAAGTGACTTGTCCAAGATAACTTCGTCAATCAGTGACAAGACTGGGACATGAGCCCAGGTCTTCTATTTCTAAACGGCATTCTCTTTGCACGATAACCTGCTGTCCCCTTCCCTTAGGAGTCTGTGGGGCTGGAAGCTTCCTGGCTGGTGACAGAAATCCCTAAAGACAAGGCATCAGGAAAATAGCACCATCCACTGCTTTCCCGGTCCCTCCCTCCTTCCCTCTCTTCCTCTATCCCTCCCTCCTTCCTTCCCTTCCTCCCCTGTGCCAGGACCAGAGTCTGACTGACAAAACCAACATGGCTCTCAGTAGCCCCCAAACAGCCTCTGGTCCTATCACAAGGTCATCTGGTAGACTCAGGCAAAGAGCAAATCTATTTGCTTGGAGCAGCACCCAGCACCAGCAACCACTTCACACACACCACACAACCTTAATAGCAACTCCTGGCTCCCCACAACCAGCCTGTGTGAGCTTGACAAAGCCCAGAGTCTTGGGTAAGTAAATCCTGAGCTGAATGGCATAGGCACTAAGGTGATGTTCACATTCTAACGACAGAAGGTAGTTTTTAAAGTAGACAAAAATACAACTGTCATTTCACCAAATATAGAGGTAGCTTCCTAAAGTTTCCTCCCTATGTGAATGCTGCCCTTTTTGGGGAAAAAAAAAAAAAAAAAAAAAAAAAAAAAAAAAAAAAAAAAAAAAAAAAAAAAGGCATCAACCACAGCATCATTAGCATCATTTCTTGCATTTACATGAAGCCTTAAGTGTAGCCACATTCGTCACCGTATGGGACTCTCCCAAGTACCCCCTGAGTTAGGCAGGGCGGGCATTTTTATCCCCGTGTTACCCAACAGGAAGCAGGATTCGGGTTATGGGATGGTATTGAACACCAAATTTAAAGGGGGGGGGGGGGGGGGGAGGAGACTCATGTATTGAGAAAAGAGATGAACCAAAGTAATGCCTCTGAAATACTGTTTAAAATTTGATCACTTTTGATCAGACTCACCCAACTTGCTAATGGCAGAGCTTCTGGTTCAGCGTTTTTTAGAGCAAAGGAGGAAATTAGGTCCTTGGGCTATTTTATTTCATTTAATCTTCCCAAGTCCCCTGGAGGGCAGGTTGTGTCTCATCTCGCCACGCCACGGGTGAGGAACAGGAGGCCCGAAAAGGGTAGGCGACTTGCCCACAAGGACAGTCAACTCTTCCTGCATTCCTGCTTCTCAGTCAACCTCCTCCTGATCTCTTTCTGCTCCTCCAGACTCACCCTCACCAAACCAAGGCTGCCTGTTAAATGCTGGCGCCCTCCACCCACCTGGAGATTGCCAAGTGTTCTGACCTTTCCCGCTGTCTCCCCACCCTTTGGCCACAAAGCCCCCCTCCTGCCCATTTCCTGATTTTCTAAAACTCATGAAGGATCTCATGTACTACAACCCTGTCGCAGGACGCATTTAGCAGGCACAGACAAATCCCCCGAAATACCTGTTCTTAAACCTGAATTGCCGCCTTGCTCCTTGGTAGTGATGGAGATGGCCCGGCTGGAAGCCAGGTGGCTGGTCTCAGGGGAGCACAGAAACTCTCTCTCCTCCGTACAAGGGCTTCAGTTTCTCTTTGGGCCACTGAGATAGTTAACTTGGCGATAGCAAACACAGCCCTAGCCGTTATTCCTCTATCCTGCTCTTCTCCCAGGGACAGCCCCTCCACGCTGAAAAGCAGCCAGTCTCGCCTGGGAGAGGACCGGATGGCAGGATGAAGGTGGCAGGGAAGGATGATCGCCAAGAAGGTTGGCCACCGGTAAACATCCACGTAAATCAGCACGTCTTCACAGGCCCCGGGCGGGGAAGGGCTAGGGTTAGGCCCTGAAGAAGCCCGACAGCAAACACAAAAGAGAAGAGAGTGAGGACCGGGGAGAAGTGGAGACGGGCTTGACTGAGCTCAATGTAAGGAAGAGCCCACCAGCAGCCACAGACAGGACTAGTCCAAATGCACACGGGTCCTGCAGTTTCTTCAACGTTTTTGCAAGATTGATTTCCCATGCAGACAGACTTCGACTCCATGGTGAGCAGTGACTCAGGTTGGCTAAGCCTAAAGGTTCCAATTCCTTAGCATGGCAATTTGAGGGGGCATGGCAAGAAGCCGTGGGGTCATGTGGACAGTGCTGGGAAGTGGAGGTCAGAACCCCTTGGTGCATCTGGCTTTCTGACAGCAGTGGTATTGGTACTCTAGGTGTGGGGCAAAGCTGCCCCGTCAGCTTTAGCTCTCACCTGGCCCAGGTTATAAAGAGAAGAAAGGGTTTCAGATGTCAGAAAAGCATCCGGCCTCACGGCCTCAGGAGG